ATTTATTTATTTATTTATTTATCACATTTTTGGGTTTAATTTTGCATCTTTATTGTCCTCCAGCCTGAAGTTTCTGTTGCAAACGCACTGGTTGTTTTTATTTATGTTTATGCTCTGTGTTGTTGTTGTTTATGGACAGACACTGTCTCCATGTATTGATCAGCAGATGATGAGCATGACTGATGTTGAACAGTAAAGGTGTTTACGTCCAACCTGCGAGGTCACATGGTCCAATGTCGGGCTGATGGAGGTTGTTCAGTCGTTACACCAAAGAAACCCTCTGAAATTCAATCAGTTGATTGGTTGATGGGGAAAATAAATCAGCATGTTATTTTTCAGTTATCTAAATCTCCCACAATGCACTGAGTGCAACAACAACAACAACAACAACAACCCTTCAGCTCCAGAAAAACCAACATTAAAAACAGTTACTGGTGTCCAACCTGCTGCTGTGGTTATTTAGTTCACACAGGGGTCTCATAGTGTCTCAGGAGGTAGAGCGAGTCCACTAATCAGAAGGTTGGCGGTTTGATCCCCGGCTCCTCCCGCTGCATGTCACAGACAGTCGTAGCATTATCGATCAATCATTAATATTCAGCCTTTGTTACAGCCTGTTACTGCGTACAGTATCCTCTGAGGCTGGGACTGATAGACACATTCTTGACTCTCTGTCACTTAGTTTGGAGTTAATGTTGAGTCAGTCTCCAGACAGCTGAAGTCCCTGTCTCACCTTCTTAAACCATAACATTATTCACACAACCACATTTGTGGAGTAAAAAATATTGGAATAATATTTTCATATATATTTCTAACAATATAACATCAGGTCTGAATATGTCCCTCCCGCCCTGACAATAACGTCCTGGTTACAGTAACGGTTGGTTGGATGAGGTCACATGGACCAACCAACAACCAGCCACCAGCAGGTGTCAGCAGCAGTATCTGTGTTTAATGGTTGTATGGACTGCCTGTTGCCCAGCTCCTCGTCGTAAATCATCTGCTCCAATAAAACCCCTTCCTGCCCCAATAGAGCACAGTTCACCTCCTCTCCATCACCCTGTCCTGAGAAACCCTGCAGACACCCAGAGAGGAGCAGCACAAACACATTATCACACAAACAACAAACTTTATTTATTCTGTTTGGTTTTTAAAAACATAAAACTAAAAGAACCAGCGATATGGATTCAGACCTCTCAGTAACAGTCAGATCTGATCACATATACTTACAGTTTGTCCACGTTGTCTCCTCCAGGACCCCGGGCCCCTGCCCCCCTCCCCCATCCTGGGCCAGAAGCCACTGCAGTTACTGGAGATCAAAGCCAGGGGGCGCTTCGGCTGCGTGTGGAAAGCTCAGCTGCTCGGAGAATACGTTGCTGTCAAAATCTTCCCCATCCAGGTCTGTACTGTCGGAGCGTCCTCAAACACACCATCAGCTGGTACAGTAACAGAATCTGGATCCATATCTGATCAGCACTGTTTGATCTGAGTTTCTGAGCTTTATCGTCTGTTTTACCATCAGTTACTAAATGAACATCATGCTGTATGGAAGAAGACTGAAACTAGAGACTGAGACCAGAAACTCATCAGGAAACTGTTTACTGAACTCATTCTCCATTAGAGTGAATGGGATCAGTTTTTGGAGCCAGGGAAGCTCCCCCTGCTGGCCTTTACACAGAATGCAGGTTTTAAGACACTGTCCATTATATACACTGTCAATGGTCGTAGATCACACAGGCCTGACCTCTGACCTCTGTGACCTCTGACCTCTGTGTTTTCAGGACAAGCAGTCATGGCAGAACGAGTACGAGATCTTCAACCTGAGCGGGATGAGACACGAGAACCTGCTGCAGTTCCTCGGAGCCGAGAAGAGAGGAAGCAACCTGGACGTGGAGCTGTGGCTTATCACCTCCTACCACGAGAAGGTGCTGCCACCTGCTGGACGCACATAGAACTGCAGCACCGTCACATTCACCTAAACTATATCAAACTGTCAGCTTCACAAGTGTCTTCATCAGCAGACTCACATCATCTGCATCATTTTTATTATTCATTTATCACAGTATCTTTATTAACAAACTGTTTATTATTCATTAAAGTATCAAAATCACTGGATTGCTGAAACACAATGGATATAAACAGTCAGTAACTAATGCCAACACTAATAATAAGACTGTTGTGTGTTGTAATACGTTTGTTTATTTGTTTATTTGTTGTGTTGTCAGGGCTCTCTGACCGACTACCTGAAGGCCAACGTCCTCTCCTGGTCTGAACTGTGTCTCATCGCTCAGTCTATGTCTCGAGGTCTTGCCTACCTGCACGAAGACATACCTGGACACAAGGACGGACACAAACCGGCCATCGCACACAGGTACACACACACACAGGTACACACACACACACACAACAGGTGTGTGTGCTGAACACCTGTCAGATGCTGGAGGCCCTCAGGTTGTGTATAGAGACACACCTGTTGTTTCCTACCTGTCTCCAGCAGTAAGAGAGGATTATTAGATACAGGCTGTAACTACAGTCTGTACTCAGACAGTTGGATACCTGTTGTTAATAACAGGAATATTAAATAGGAATTAAAGGTTGTGGACTCTCTCTGTGATTTTCAGGGACTTAAAGAGTAAGAACGTCCTGCTGAAGTCCAACCTCACCGCCTGCATCGCTGACTTCGGCCTCGCTCTCAGGTTTGAGGCGGGAAAATCTCCTGGAGACACACACGGACAGGTGAGTCCACCTGAGTGGTGATGGAGAGTGATCTGTCCTCTTCCTCACTCACCTGCTCCTCTGTCCTTGATCAAACATTATCAGCACTCAGTTCAGTGGTGTTACAGCTCCTCCTGCTGGCTGTGAGATGAACTGCAGCTCTGACACTATCACTGGTGTCCAACCTGAGGGCCACGAGCCCTCCAGTGGGTCACATGATTACTTACAGATTGCTTCGGGCCTCTGAATGAGCTCACACAGAGTTAACATCTTAGAAATATTATATATAATATTTATGTATTATTATTATATAATATACAGTATCTTCTATTATAGTATCCGTGGTGGTGATGATATTTCTGGGACAGCAGAGTAAATAAAGCTGACAGGGTGAGACCAGTTGGAACCACCAGTCCAGTCTGGTCTGCCTCACAGGGTACTGGTGTTCAACCCTGATGGTGTCCCTGTGTGTGTGTGTCAGGTGGGGACCAGGAGGTACATGGCCCCCGAGGTCCTGGAGGGGGCCATTAACTTCCAGAGAGACGCCTTCCTGAGGATAGACATGTACGCTCTGGGTCTGGTTCTGTGGGAGCTCGCCGCGCGCTGCAAAGCAGCAGATGGTAAGAGACCCTCACCCTGATCCCAATCTGGATCCACATGTGATGCATTAAAAGAGTGTGTTTGAGTGTCTTGTGGTGTCTTGTGGTGTTTCGTTGCCTCTCTGTGCTGTAGTCCAACCCGGTGCTTTGATAGAAACAGTTTCCAGCTGATCCTGAACCAGGGTTCCACATCTGGTGGTCTGATTGCTGGTGTAGTGTGTTTGTTGTGGACTCTGACCCCCTTCTCTCTAAACCAGGTCCAGTGGACGAGTACATGCTGCCGTTTGAAGAGGAGGTGGGTCAACATCCGTCTCTGGAGGACATGCAGGAGGTGGTGGTCCACAAGAAACTGAGGCCGACGCTCAGAGAGTGCTGGCAGAAACACGCTGTGAGTTTAATAATAATATACATAATATACATAATATACATAATATACATAATGCACATCTACTACATTACCCACAATGCACCTCTACTACATTACCCACAATGCACATCTACGCTGTTGTTTATTACTGACGCTGTTTGTGTGTCTTACTGACGGCTTGTTGTTTATTACCACGACTGTGTTGTGTTATGACAGAACGCTGGTTGTTTATTAGCAAGTCGCTGTTGTTATTATTACTGACGCTGTTGTTTATGTTACAGACGCTGTGATTCTTTACAGGACGCTGGGTTGTTTATTACAGACGGCTGTTGTTTATTACTGCACCGCTGTTTTCGTTTTATTAAGTCGCCTGTTGTTATATTACTGACGCTGTTGTTTATTACCTGACGCTGTTAGTTAATTACAGGTCCTGGTTGGTTTTATTACTGACGCTGTTGTTTTATTTACCAGTCGCTGTTGTCTTATTTACAGACGCTGTGTTTATTAACTGACGCTGTTGTTTATTACCTGACAGCTGTTTGTTTATTACCTGACGCGTTGTCTTTTAGACCGACGCTGTTCGTTTATTACAACTGCTGTTGTTTATATTACAGTCGCCTGTTAGTTTATTACTGACGCTGTTGTTTTTACTGACCGCCTGTTGTTTTTACTGTAGCAGACGCTGTTGTTTACTTTACAGACGCTGTTCGTTTATCTACAGACGCTGTTGTTTATTACAGACGCTGTTGTTTATTACCCCGTCCAGGGTCTGGCGGTCCTCTGCGAGACCATCGAGGAGTGCTGGGATCACGAGGCTGAAGCGCGGCTGTCGGCCGGCTGCGTGGAGGAGCGCGTCGTGCAGATGCAGCGGCAGACGAACGTCTCGGCGCCCGAGGACATTGTCACGGTTGTCACCATGGTAACCAACGTGGACTACCCGCCTAAAGAGTCGAGCCTATGACCGGGACCAATCAGGACAGAGCAGGGACTCTCTCAGTGTGCGATGATTCAGGCGACCTGCGGCGGGGTCAGGTGATCTGGCGAGGACAACATGGCGGGGTGAGCTCCAGTGATCTCCACCCTGTGACATCAGTTCCTGTTTTATATTCCAAAATAAAAGACTTTTTGTACGATAATGAGGACAAACAGTCTGTTTCAGTAGTTTTTGATGCCAATAAGAAACAGCTTCTGAATGTGAGTCACTGCTGTACATACTGGTCATTGTTATATCTATACTGATTATTGTTGAATATATTCACTGATATATTGACACTGAGAGGCAGACAGAACACACAACAAACATCTGAGGAGAAACTGAGACAAACATTCAGATCAAAGAAATAAAGTGAAATATAGATAGATATATAAATATTAGATCTTTATTCTGTTGGAAGTTGTATTCTTCCTTTTCTTAATGATGGACAGTGAAACACTGACAGATAAACACAGGAGAGAGTCTGAGGCGGTTTCATTCACCGTATGTTCAAAATATCGGTTCGTATGTCGCTATATCACTGTTCATCAACCAACCAATCACAGCCCAGACAGGGCGGGACATTAAAAGAGGTAACAATAAATACTAATAGCTCTGCGTTATTTTTTAGCATTAATGATGATTATTAGTTAGCATTTAGCATTAAGGGCTAATGTGGAGCCTCTTCTGGAACTTGTTTTACAAATCTGATAACAAGTTTGTTTGTTTGTGACGTCAACAACAACATAACACTATGATTCATAAACAGGAAGTGCTGAGGCATTTAAAGTTAATTTTTCATTGATTTATTGATAAAATGAGGATATTAATCAGTAATGTAAATCTGTTGGTTCACTTTATTTCTTTGAATGACAATCAACTCGTTTTTATAAACTCGTTAACGCACAGCGCCCTTAATCACTTCATTCATAAAAACGTCCAGTTTCTCCTTGTTACTGATCAGCTGATCAATAACACTAATAGGTTATCAGATCAAGCAGGAAATCAAAGTGTTGTCTCCAGGTTGAATGTGAACATTAGAACCCTGCAGCATGTTGTTTATTGTTGTGTATTTGTTGTTTCTTTTAATGTCATTAACTCTCCGTTGGTTCCTCTGATTGTACGGAGCCTCAAAACTGACAAAATATCACTTCAGATTCTTTCATTTATTTATTGACAACACGGATGTGAAATCAGTGAATGAATAAAATAATCTCTTTTTTTTTTTTAAAGTTTGTAAAGAAACAAGTTGTTTTGGGATGAAATATAAAATAAATAGTTTGATGTGTATTATTAAATAATTTGAGATAAAATTAATAATCTGAATCATTTATGGATAAAATATTTCTGTCGGCTTCGGGGCTCCGTATGTTTGACGGATTTAAAAAACGTCTCAGGGAAGATTTTATATTTCGATTTTAGGCCAAAAACTTGTTTTTTGTTTTATTTTCTGCTCAAACAAACGTCACTCATTACCCAGCAGCCCTTTCTCTCTGCTGTTAAAGATTCAGATGTTCTGATGTCATGTGACCTCTGACCCTTTAAAGTAGCCTCCATCAGGCTGACGGGAGGTTTGTTGTCTCATACAAACCGTAAACCAGACGTCAGAATCTACAATCAGCATCCAGACTGACCACCAGAGACCAGGTCAGACTGGCTCCAGGTCAGACTGGCTCCAGGTCTGCTTCCCCTCTCAGTGTTGTAGTTCAGCTCTTTATTATGAATGGTATGAATAATAATGTGGTTATTAATAATGAGTTAATAATGATGTTATTGATATTTGAATGATGGTGTACAGGTTGTAAATATGAATGTTTCATTCATTTCAGCATGAGTTTGTTTTTTATGGACAGAACTGGTTTATAATGTTAATATGATAAACAGATTGTTGTTGTTTATTTTATATGATGATGTACAAATGAAAAACAATCTGGGTTCATTGTTTTATGTTGAAAAGTCAGTACACTTCCTGTGGAGGTGTGTGTGCGTATGCGTGCGTGTGTGTGTGTGCGTATGCGTGTGTGTGTGTGATACCTCAGACGTTCCTGCTGGTGCTCACCTCTCTCATCATGACATCATCATGGTGCCATCACCTCCTCTGGCGTCGATCAGGGCGACGACACAAATCTGACCTTCAGCTTCCTGTTTTTATTGTCTTTGTTGAAAACTGACAGAAAGTCAAACAATGAGGTTTTATTTTGTTATTTCTGAGGAAAATATTGTAACCATGAGAAAAGTAATCCGAGACGTTTTCGAGTTTGAATGGAGATAATTTAGTTCCTGTTTGTTCTGGGAATAAAAAATTCAGACATGAATGTTGAAAACTTCCAGCATTATTATTATTATTATTATTATTATTATTATTATTATTAGACATAGGATCTGCTGTCTCCCACGAGATCTGGTCTGT